GTGTGCAAACCCTGCAGCGGAGCTGAGCCCACCCCCCTCAACTGGCCACAAGGACCAGAAGGGAATCGCTGTCCTTTATTCTCCAATCAGCCACAAGGTCAGAGCTCCAAGTGCTGCTCTGCCCCACAGTGAGGCCACCTAACTGGTGGAAGAGACAGGGCCCGATGAAGAGGGGCCCAGGCAGGGCAAGTGTGGGGGGCAAGGAGAGGGAAGCAGAAGGGTCAGAGGCTGGGGACCCGGGCTTGTACCTCAAGGATGTAAGGACCAGCTGAGTTTCTAGTCCTCCAGGGAAGGGCCAGAGGTGGTGAAGGAATGGCAGGAGATCACAGGAGGATCCCTCCCCTTCCTCCCATCTCCCTACTATTTTCCAGGCATTGTACTGTCCTAGCGGTAGAGAAGTGCTTAGGCACCATGGTCTTTGCCCTTGAAATGTTTCTATCTAATGAGGAAGACGGAACAGTAAACAGATCATTCATCAAGACAAGATGGTAAATGCTACGACAGAAATCACCTCACAACACTATCCAAGCGCAGAGCACAGAGCAGAGAACTCGCGTGTCAGGGAAGGCTTGCTGATGGGAGGAGTGACCGTGGGCGGGTTGACAGTGATGTTGCCAGGCAGAGAATACATACATGTCTATATTCTTTCTAGGCAGAAAGAATAGCAGGTGCAGAGGCACAGAGTAGCCTGGGGAACTTGGGGCTCACAGTGCCACGAGGAGGAGGTGTGTGTGTGTGTGTACATGTGTGTGCATGCATGTGGGTGTGTGTGCATGTATAGGGCTCCTGGGAGCACACACGGGAGAAAAGGCAGCAGAGGCAGGCAGGAACGGACGGCAGTCCAAGGTAAGGAGTTGGGATCTTAACCTCGGTGTGATGGAGAGCCGCTGAATGATTTGGAACCATTCACGACGGCCAGACTCTCATTTAAAAACTGTCCCTGCGGAGCAGAAGACAGAGAGTGGAGCAGACAGGCCTGAGGAAGAACGGCCAGTCAGGGGCCCAGGACCGCAGCAGGTACGGTGGGGGAGAGCTGGCCTTCAGATATTCCTCACACTGATGGGCAGTCTTCAATACTGGGTGTGTGGGGGGGGCACAGTGGGGAGAGAGCCCTGTCACCGAAGCCAGACCCCCCTCCCCCACGGAGATGGATGACCCTCATGCAGATGACAGGCATCTCACCATCCCATCCCCCCGTTCCCTTTTCTCCTCACTCTATTCCTCAAGCTCGATGTTCACCATATGGTTTTATCCTCAGCATGACTGGAGCTTTTTGGAAGGAAAATCTCACTGCTATTTATTGTAGCCATGCAAAATAAATCACGAGGGTGCTCCTGGCAGGTCCTCGGCATGTGCGTCGCACTCGCGCAGCCTGAGTGCTGGGAGCACACCGCCGCCGCTTGCAGGAGTGGAGCCCGTCAGCGTTGCACTGGAGTGGGCTCCGCAGCGGGTTGAATCGGTCGTGTCTGTGAGACAGGAGACTCGGCAACCCAGCTCACGAAACCGCTCCAGGTGCTTTCGTTTAGGGAGGTGCATCCGTGTTTAAAAACGACACAACCAAGAGTCTGGGACTGTAAACACAGAACTAAACATATATATAAATATATATATGTCTGTTTTTTCCCAGTAGTTGAGCACCTTCATGAGGTACAGAGGGCAGGTCCTGGATAGACTATGATGCCCGGAAGATGCCTTGTGCCAGCGGCCCCTCCCCTGGCCCTGCAGGGCTCTGTCTCGGGCCTGGGCGTCCTGGTTGCAACTAGACCTCAAGGGAATGGCTGACAAAGGACGGGTGTTCAGGTGCGCGTGGTGAGCCCAGGAAGAAGCCCGGGAGTCTCCTCCTCTGAGTGCTGTGTGAGGGGGGAGGAGAAGTGGGTGAGGGGGTCCCCAAGGCACGGAGAAGGGGGAACTGTGAGGGCAGGATCAGTTCTGCTTCTTCCACCCGCGATCATGGGTTTGAGGGGTGTGTGTGCGGCAGCTGGGGTGACGAGGTGGAGAAACCCAGAAACACAGCCCAGGAACATGTGTGCTCGTGCAGAATTCGTGCTGGAGACGTTTGTGTCTCCTTAACGGCCACATAAAGTTCCCCAACGCATTATGTGTTGGACAGAATGCACTGCAATTCCTTTGGAAAAACTACAATACAAGCATATAAAACCCTATGTGACTAACTGGTAATTATTTTTAAAGGTAATGTCATTGGCGATGATGGGAACTGGGCACTGCTAGAAATTTAAATCAGTAAAACCTCTCTGGAGAAAACCTTTGACCAAGCAATCCCAAGGGCTCCAAATGGCAGAAAGTCAGCCCTCTTTCCGTGGCTGGTTGGGTGGGGAGCAAAAGCTAACACGAGTTTACACTAGACTTCCTGTCAAGATGAAGACGTGGGTAAACATGCCTCGCCTCCTCGCACAACTATACAAAAAATACGAGACTGCAAGACAAATATCACCCAGAATTTTCAGAAAATCAAGCTGTGTGGAAGTCCGACAACCAAGGATTTCAAGAAGCCACACTCATCCAGACAGGTAGGAGAGGTGTGCGGACGCGGAGGGTTGCACAGAGAGGCATGGACACATGAATGGGTGGCCCCACGTCCCATGTGTGGTGGATCAAAATCAGGAGGGATACACTGGGAGCGAGTGACCCTAGCCCCAGACCCAACCACCCAGCCCAGGGTTCCACTGCCAGGAAGATAAGTCCCTGTGGCTTCTGGCTGTAAATACCAGTGGAGATTGGGGCAGCAGAAGAAACCAAGGGATTCCTAAGAGACTCCTTTTAAAGGGCCTTCAATGGACTTAGGACTCACACAGACCCATCCACTCTGGGATTCAGCACCAGGGCTACAGCTGGAAGGGCACAGCTGGCATACGGGGAGGAAGCGAAGTGACTGGCAACAGGGCGAGTGCTGGGAGATAACTTCCTCCTGCACAAAACTCCAGCGGCCAGGCAGCGGCAATGTCCACTGTCAGAGTCTGCCCCAACACAGAGCAGCAAAGCAGTGACACGGGTCACCCCGCCCTGGTGAACACCTAAGGCTCTGCCCCATACAACTAAACAGGTGTACTTTTCTACAATAGGCCATGCTACTAAGACAAGGAGTCAAAGTAGCTCTACTTAATACACAGAAACAAACACAGGGAGGCTGCCAAATTGAGGAGACAAAGAAATATGGTCCAAATGAAAGAAAAGAACAAAACTCTAGAAAAAGAACCAAACAAAATGGAGATAAGCAACCTATCAGATGCAGAGTTCAAAACACTGGTTATCAGGGTGCTCCAGGAACTCATTGGGTACTTGAACAGCATAAAAAAGACCCAAGCAGAAATGAAGGCTACATTAAGTGAAATGAAGAAAAATCTACAGGGAACCACTATTGGAGTGGATGAAGCTGAGAATCAAATCAATAATTCGGGACACAGGGAAGGAAAAAGCATTCAATTACAATAGCAGGAAAAAAAAGAACTAAAAAAAATGTGGACAGGCTTAGAACTATGGGACATCTTTAAACAAAGGGGTGCCTGAAGGAGAAGAGGAAGGACAAGAAATTGAAAATTTATTTGAAAAAATAGTGAAAGAAAATTCCCTAATTTGGTGAAGGAAATAGACATATAAGTCCAGGAAGAATAGAGAGTCCCTAACAAGATGGACCCAAAGAGGTCCACTCCAAGACACATCATAATTAAAATGTCAAAGGTTAAAGATAAAGAGAATTAAACGCAGTAAGAGAAAAGCAGAGATTTACCTACAAAGGAGTCCCCATAAGACTATTAGCTGATTTTGCAAAAGAAATTTTTCAGGCAAGAAGGGGCTGGCACAAAATATTTAAAGCGATGGAAAGCAAGGACCTGCAACCTAGATTGCTCTACCCAGCAAAGCCATCATTTAGAATGGGAGGGCAGATAAAGTGTTTCCCAGACAAGGTAAAACTAAAGGAGTTCATCATTACCAAGCCATTATTATATGAAACAATAAAAGGAATTATATAAAAAATATCAAAACAATGAACATTAAAAAGGAAACACACCCACAACTATCAATAAGTACATCCAAATAATAAAACTAAGCAAATACGTAGAACAACAACAGAACCATAGATATGGAGATTATTTGGAGGCTTATCACTTGGGCGGGGGAAGGGGAAGAATAGGGGACAAGGTGCAGGGAATTAGGTGTACAAATTGGCAGGTACAAAATAGACAGGGGGATGGTAGAACAGTAGAGGTAATGCAGTAGCCAAAGAACTTATATGCATGACCCATGGACATGAACTAAGGAGGGTATTGCTGGAGGGAATGGGGGTATCGGGCAGAGGTGGACAAAGGGGGAAAAATTGGGACAACTATAATAGCATAATCAATAAAATGTACTAAAAAAGAATTTACACTAGAAATGACGCATCTGTCAGGTCTGGGAAACAAAGCAGAGACCACGGAGCCCCACTGCGACCACAGGTCCCCAAAAGCGCCCCTGCCCGTGTGCGAGGGCCAACGGAGGGTGTGAGGCATCCCGGGCTGTGAAAGGATGAGCTTCAAGCCCCGGAGGAGTCCTCATCTGTTTCAAAATTTAACACCTATCTATTCAATTTTGCACAAAAGAGTTTTGTGTTATTTTAACATTATGCTTTCAACCAGAAATCTTTCAGTCTAAGTTTAAATTCACAAACAATAGTTTTCAAACACTCTGTCAAAAACAACAATAAAATCCTTGCGTATGTTATTAAGCATCTTAGAAACGGATGTACTCACTGAACTTCATACTCAGTTTCTCTCTCATCCTGTTTCCAGTTTCAATGTTCGTTCTTAAATGAAAAGCATTACCCTCATAGATCTTTCTGGAAGATTCTGACAAAAAGTAAATACATACAGAGAATACGCTGGGGTCCTCTCCCATTCTGGTCTCTGTCATACTACTTCGAGCTTTTATCCCAGACCCCAGCAGCCCCGTCTCCGGGGGGACACCGTTCCAGCAGAGCAGCCCGGCGCCGCAGGCACACTTACTGCTCCCCGGATGGAAGACGAGCCAGTTCCTTCGTCCTCTTCCCCGTCTGGCTCCTGGTCTTCGTTGTCAGTCCAAGAGGACACGTCCTCTACCGAGCTGGTCAGGTCAGGCAAACTCTTAGATGTTAACCTCAGGAGGTCCTCTGCGGAGGTTTCCTGTGGGAACACAATTAAAGGCCCACCAATTACTGCATGGCACCAGCAGTTCTAGGTCAAGGTCAAAGAAAACCTAGCAGAGTCAGCTGTGGGCAGTCACATGCTCCCAACCCAAAGACTGTCTATGCGATGGATGTTCTGCATTTCCAGGTTTGCAAGGTTACCTCAAATGCCAGGGGTGTGAACCCAATGTAAACCCAAACCAATTTTCCCCCGTGAAGAATCTGTGTTTCTTAGATGGGTGTTTCCATAAACAATCCAAGTTCCCTGAACTCATGTTCCTTTGCTGCCTTCCTGTCTTGCTTTCAGGATACAACTTTTCAAGGTCAACAAAAACACAAGAACCAGACTCCATTAAAATTAGACTGCAAATGAGGCTTCCTCTCCCACTGTTACCTTGCTTTTGCATTCTCAGTTCTATACACCCTTCGAAGTTGAAGGGTAACACTTCCCAAACTTCTAGTGGTTTGCTGGTCTCTAGTTTTTGGAGAGTTCTTGTCACTATTTTCTAAGGAGAACAGGTAGATTTTTTAATGCCCTCCCCCAATCATACATTTCACAAAGCCCTGATGAATTTTGAATATGTACAAAGGTTTAAACATTCCCTAATGATGGATCTGTGATTTAGTAAATTTCCCTCATGCGTATATTCCTTCAGTGCCGGGAATTTTCTTTTTCCTTTCGCAACAGCCTTGTTGCTTGTTTTCCAGGTGCAGCTAGTAAAGCCAAGTTTTAAAGCAGGAACCTTATTTGATTTAGTGTAGATGCTTCCTGTCTATTCTTTGTTGACGGGGCCTTTTACATGAGTGTTTTTTTTTCTTTTTGTGTGTGTTACATGTCTGTGTATTAAAGAGGAATGTGCATATTTAAAAAATTTTAAACATAAAGGGGGCTCCATCAACACAGCCCTTCCTACGCATCGACAAGGCCAGAGTGGGCTGTGATACGTGGGTGAGATCATAGGGCCACGGGACAATCCCAACTGCAGACGCAGCCCACACAGGAGCCGAGAGTGCTCGCGGGAAATGCCATAGCCCACGAGGCTGGGGACCGGGGCTGCAGGGCTGGTCCCTGGTCAGGACAAAGGGCAATGTGTCCTCTCCACAGCCTCCACACCAGCCGTTTCTACAAGGCAGGCCCCGTGGAAAGCTCTGACGATCGAATTCCTCAGGGACTGGCAGAAAAGAGAATAACAACAACAAAAACGTCCATCATCAACCATGGGCAAACTCCTGCCGAGGAGGCATCTGGTGACAGTGACACTGGATGCAGGTTCCGCCTTCAGGGTACCTCAAGCTCATTCATTTTAGAGGAATAATTGTAAACACTAGACCGTGAGCCCTTCCCTAAGGAAAGGGAAAAGAGCTGTCAAACAAAAAGTGAGTTCAGTTTTCCTCCGTGATGGCACCTCTGCTAGACCATTAACAGAAAAAGAGTAAAAAAAAAAAAAATCAAAATGGTGAAGGTCCCGACTGGTGAGCAAATTGCACAACAGCCACAGGACAGAATGCTTCAAGGTCACTACAAACGGCGCTGCAGCAGACAGTCCCGGATGTCAGGTGCAGTGCAGGGAACAGTCGATGATACTGGAGCCATGGTGCATGCAGCCAGGTGGGCGCTGGAAGTACTGGGCAGGCGGGGGGTGGGGCACTTTGTAGAGTATGGTTGTGGAACCACTGTGTCGTACACCTGTAACTCACACAAAATAATGCTGAATGTGAACTGTGATTGAAAAGTGAAGTAAACGGTGCTGTAGCAATGTGCTTCCTGATGTGGCGATTCTTACACGTAGTATGCTATTTAGTAAAAAGTAGGTTAAAAATAAACTGTAGTGACTACACGAATGCTAAATGTAACGATACATGACAGCATAAGGGCAGACGTCGCTGGGAACAGCTGCATGGTTCGGACCCATTTACATCTCTCAGTCTTCCCGACAGCCCGTGAGTTTCAACGTACAGGCGAGAGCACTGAGCTCTAGGCAGACACAGTAGGTTGCCAAAGCCCCACAGCTCGTCTCTGGCTGTGCTGGCGCTGAAGTCCAGGTGGGACTGCCTCCGGGTGCACTCCGTGTCTTGTGTTTGGTTCCAGTGAATGAAAATGTGTGTGTACATTCTGCACACACCTGTGTGTGTTCCAGGCTGGAAGGACACGCCGGTTAACAGTGCTAATGGTGGCGTTGCAAAAATTTTTATCTTCTTTTTCTTCTATTTTTTTTACATTAGATTTAGTAAGCACACATTACTTGTTAATAAAAACTAAGAGTAAAAAAAAAAAGAGCACAGGAGAAATCTGTATTGCTGTGCATGTACTTTCCAGGAACACCCAAGCAAACTTGGATATTCCAATTTCACTCATCCAACAAAAACCTGCTCAGCCCCTATACACAGACAACCCATCTGTGTAGAAACACGAGGTCTCCAGAAGAAAGTGACTGCTGAATTTCTGAAACAGTGCCTTAGAATTTTGTGATGCGGTGGCAGTTATCTGTCACAGTAATTTACACTTTTATTATTCCTTATACTCAGCAAGTCAAAGCTCTTGTTCCTTCTCCCCCTCTTCGAAACCAGGCAAAGGAAGCCTGTGGACTGCTTGCTACTGTCGGGTAATGAAGAGGAACAGATACCATGAGGTGCCTGGAGACGGCCTGCTTTCCCCTCCTCCACGGGGGAGCACCCCCGCAGTGCGGACTAGGGTGAGGAACCAGGAGCAGGCAGCAGCTGCAGCAGCGGCTTGCCTAGTTGTAAGCAGAGTGCTTGGGAAGAAGTGAAAGGGTCGCTCCTTTGGGTCGGCTGTAGGGCCACAGCCCAGTACCGGTGGCCAGGAGCACACGGACCGAGCATATAGACGCTCCTTCCCTGGCTCCGGCTGCAGCTCCGCCCTACAGAGACCCCGGCAGGTGTCCCACAGGTCAAAACCTGCAGCAGAGACACACAACCTTTTCTAATATCATTAGCCCTAGTGTTCTTTGTATCTTATTTGACTGAGGGGCAGCCTGGGCTAGGACTTGAACTTGGAGGTCTGAGGGACCCAGGATGAAACCTGCTTCTGCCGCCCACTACTTGTGCGACCTCTGGGCAAGTTGATTAATCACTTAGATTTTGATTTCATCCTTTGAATAAAAAGAACTAATACCTGACTCACGGGAATTATTTGAAGAATTAAATGCGATGATAGGTGAGAAGCGCCTGGCACTCTGGGGCACCCGATACCTGTCGGCGTCCTTCTCCCCGTAAGTCGGTGCATGAAACTGTCGGCCGGGCGTCACAACCTGCCTTCACAGTCCCGCGTGCGCCCCTTACTCAGTAGCCTCACCCCTGAGCGGCCTGTTTTTGTTTCCGGTCTATGTTTTCTGTGTGTCTGTGTGTTTGTGGGTAATGAGATGACATGGACTCCCTCTTTCCCACTTTCCCACTAGCAGGGGAAAGACGTGGCCAGGGAAGTTCGGGTTTGGTGGCCAGGGTGTAGCGCCTGTGCAGAAAACTCTGTTCTTGAGCCACAGACCTTGGGGAGGTGGGCCGTGCAAACACTTGACTGTGTGTGCATGCACAAGATCCGATGATGCTTTTCAAACTCCTAGCCCTTCTGATCAGATGAGGAATTTGTCTCCCTCCTTGTGGAGTTCGCCAGGCTGACCGAGGACCTCCCCGGCTCCTCTGTCCCTCCCCGTGCCCAGTGAGGAGACGCCAGGGTGCCCCACAGCATCTCTGGAAGGGGAGGGGGGCCTGTGAGTGGACAATGTGTCCACTTCTATCTCTAGGACCTCAGTGCAACTCCTCCTGCCGAGTCTTTCCCAAGGCTCCGCGTTCTTTTTTTTTTTTTTAGATTTTATTTATTTATTTTTAGAGAGAGGGGAAAGGAAGGAGAAAGAGAGAGAGAGAAACATCAATGTGTGCTGCCTCTCTTGCATCCTCTCCTGGGAACCTGGCCCGTAACCCAGGCATGTACCCTGACTGGGAATTGAACCAGTGACCCTTTGGTTCGCAGGCCCATGCTCAATCCACTGAGACAGGCCAGCCAGGGCTCAAGGCTCCGCACTCTTGTTGGAAGCCCAAGAGTCGAGGTCAAGGGTCTGGGGTGAATGGTGTAGAAGGGAGGGAAGCAGATTATTCAGGTAGCTAAAAGCATTAAAATTCCTCCAGTCTACTTGTTAAACACTCCAAGAATAGGCAATAGACCTTGCAACCTAAGAGGCAGAAATACAGGATGGGGCAAATGTAGGTTTACAGTAGTGAGCACACGAAACACAGGTTATTCTTTTTAAGAGAGAGGGAAAGGAGGGAGAAAGAGAGAGAGAGAGAGAAACATCAATGTGTGGTTGCTGAGGGTCATGGCCTGCAACCGAGGCATGTACCCTGACTGGGAATCGAACCTCCGACACTTTGGTTTGCAGCCCGAGCTCAATCCACTGAGCTACGCCAGCCATGGCTAGGTTATTCTTGTATTATTATTTTTTAAAAATTTTTACTGCTCACCCAAAGATATGTTTTTATTGTTGAGAGAGAGAGAGCGAGCGAGAACATTGATGTGAGAGAGAAACACTAATTGGTTGATTGGTTGCCTTACACAGGCGCCCTGACTGGAGATGGAACCCTCCACCTTCTTGGTCTACAGGACCATGCTCCAACCACCTGAGCCACCTGCCCAGGGCTATTCTTGTGTTATTATTGATTAATATGTACTGTTTTCCATACAAACAACTGTCAACTTACTTCTTCCCCACCCTGTGGATGGTAGGTTCAAAAATAATAATGGGGATAATGGGGGAAAACAGCCATACTGCAAGAGTATAACGCTCACACCAGTTCTTCCCGGAACTGCAACTGGGACCAACTGGGATGAACTGGGATGAGGCCTTGTCATAGCAACACTTCGCTAGCTCCTCAGTCACGTGGGCTCTTTCCTGGTCTCGTCGCCAGCAGGATGAGAGCGAGGAGCAGAACCAGGACAGCCCAGTTCCTCCTCCTCCTCCTCATGTAGCTGTGGAGTCCAGCAGCCTCCATCCAGGGCGCTGAGGCTGGCGAGACCCAAGGAGGAAGCAGGTGCCAGCCCCGATGTCAGCACTATCTTAACGCACAGAGGGAGCCCAGCTGGAGGCCTCGTGGACAGGAGGCTGCCACAGAGGGAGGGGACAGACTCTGCCTGTGCACCGAGAACTTGAAGAGCATCTGGGCCACCACGGAGCTCGGCCTCACCGTCTCGTTTGTAAAACGGAGGAGGAAGACAGGGAGGGCTGACACTGACAAGCTTGCCAGCAGCACCGACACTCTGTGACGCAGCGAGTCAGATCCTCCCTCCCTCCAGGACCTGAAGACGGACACCTCCACCACCCCGTCCCCGCGGCCCTGCGGCCCCATGGCTCTTCCCCGGTTTCTCCCTGGGTGAGCTGCTGCTGCTGCTGCTGTTCCCACTACCTCGTCCTTCCTCCCACCCTACCGTTCTTACCTTTTCCTTAGACTTGTGGTTTCCCCATCTCCTAAACATACCTTCTAAATAACCTTAAAAGGCAGCAAGCACGCTGCCCTTCAGCTAAGGGCCCCCCTCGTGGGCCTTGCGCTGCGGAAGCATGGCTGTTTCAGTGGCCCGAGGTAAACGTGCGTGGGGAGGGCGCCAAGTTCACCACCACCATTAGAAACATTACAAACAAACAAACTACCTACCTTGCTGGCCACGACCAGCTGAACCATTCCCGTGGCTGAGCGAAGAATGGCCACAGCTTCCTCGTGGGACAGCCCGACCAGCAAGTGGCCATTGATTACCAGCAGCTCGTCTCCTAAGGACAGCCTGCCGTCCCTGAGGAAACGGAGACGGGAAAGATTCCCTCGTCAAGACATGCCGGGCTTGAGAGAGGACATTTTCCTGGAGCTGGGAGGGTGGGACGGGGAACAGTTACAATGATGCCAAAGAGGAAGTCGGGGCGGCCAGACATTGTTGGGCTGGGAGGGCTTCCTTTGTTGCTGTGGCTCAGAGGAGAGAAATGCTCCGTCAGTTTTAAGGAGACACCTCGGAACAGACACATCCTTAAGTGGCCACCACGTGACCTGGCATTCATGGCACTGAAATGTCCCATCCTGGTGGAGACAACAACAGAGGCACCCAGACCTCAAGGTTTGGGAGAGTCAAGGCATTCTCTCCTCCGTCCGACCTGCCACCCTCCCCTCGTGCCTCCGTCCTCAGCCGATCGCTGAGCTGAGCCCAGAGAGGCAAAAGCATCCTAAGCTCTCCGGGAAGCCTTCTCCAGCCCGTGCCCCTTTTCTTCCAGGTGACACAGCCCTGGCCAGATTTCCTCTGTGGCACCTGGGACACCACATGGCACGTGTCTAACTCCCCGCCCCACAGAGTTATGGGACCTTGAGGAACACGTCTCTTAGCCCCTTTTCATCCCTGTGTCCTCACAGCCGAGCTTCCTCGGCAGAAGGATGAACACAAAGAGGAACAAAGAGGCTAATATATGGCTATTGCAGGTATCAGGCCCGGTCTACAAACACAGGTGCACAAACACACTGGTTTTTAAGTTTCCTTTCAATTAATTACAGCTGACTCAGAGCTTCCTTCCCGGGGCTGGCAGGAGAGCCAGTGGCCTCGGGAACTGGCTCCCCTGGGGGGGGGTCCGGAGAGGCACTCTGTCGGAGTGCTGGGCAGGACCCTCATTCATGGTACACCCATAGTCTTGTGGGTTTCAGTTGAACCCCCAAGGGTCTGGTCTCCCATGAACCCAAAGGAGCCAAAAGCTTTTCACCTCTATTGCTAAGTACGGGATAGGAAATCTGGTGAGTCTGGGAAACCTTACACCTAGGGTTCCATGGTCCCCTCTGCAGGCTTCGGATTAGTACCCAGGGTGCGGCCCTGGGATACGGCCAAGTCCCCAGTGGCTGTGTCCAGGGCTACACCCAGGTCTGTTTCTCTCCCACCTGCGGACCTTTCCCCTGCTTCCTTTCAACGGATCAACCAACTTCTCTCCGCTTTTCCCTCCCTCGTCAGTTCCTCTCCCCTGTCCCCTTCCTTTAGGGTGTGCGTCAGAGGGGGTTCTGTGAATTCAGGCCTTAACAGAAGACGACAGGCACCAGAGGCTTCTGAGTGCCTCTACTTCTGTCCTTCAAAAACCCTGAAGGCAGAGAAATGCTAAGGACCCCATGGGAATGGAAAGAGAGGGGACGAGAACGAGCACAGCACAAACCACAGAGAACAAGCGCCTGCAACCTCAAGGAGCCGTGTGGTGGGCCCCCCGGGGGAGTGGGATTCGGGACTAAGGGCGCATGCACGAGTTCTGGCCACTGTCCCTGGGTTTACTTCTCTGTAGCACCATCGAGACCATCCCTGACCCCATCTCTTCACTTGTTTCCCTCTTTCATCCCATCTTGCTCTTCCCCCTGATTGACTAGAATGCCCCATCTGTGAGCTACACACCCCAGAGACAGACACACGTGCACACAACTCCCAGCGCGGGGCACAAAGAAACACGGCACCCACTAGAAACAACTCCCAGAGAAAACAGACAAGAACAGCTCTACATGAGCTTTCCTCTGGGCACAGGAATTCCCTAATTGCCAACCTTGCAAAGACAGACTAGAACGGGAGACCCAGGACTAGTGGGCAAACGGCTACCCTGGTGGTAGTTCCTTAAGGCACACATCACTGGGGAAGTTGACCAATGTTCCCGTGGGTAAAAACTGTCGAAGGGCTTTGTCCCCAATCATTACGGCCATGCAGATAACTGACCTACACAGTTAATCTTCTTTTCCCTTTAGCGGTTAGTTAGCCTCCTACTTTCTAGTTCGAGGACTGATGAGCATGAAACACCTGGATAGTCTGTGCCCCAGTTCTTGCCTTACTTGCGCATTCTTCAGACGAAATAACCTCCAGCTCCTTCTGCTCCACCTCACGAGATACACCTCTGAGTGCCCACTCGATCGTGGGCAGGCCAGCACTGCTCTGGCTTGCCACCACTCCCTTATCAGGGTGCCTGGCTTGAACACTCTAAAATCCAGGCTACATCCATCTTCCTCATCAGTGGAACTCTACCTGTACGTGCCCGCTGTACATGTGTGGGCTTGCGACATGTGCACATACCCGGCCATGCCTCGCAAACAGTAGACACCCTCTGTACAGCAGGTCCTCGGATATCATTTCATGCAATATTGTTTCATTATCTTGTTTACGAGATGCTGTAGGAACTTAATTCTTGTCTGTAGCAATTAGCTATAGTAACACTGCTTTGGCCACACATTGTTTTTGTTAAAGCTGCAGCACCTACCGATGGTAAGTGAGGACTTACTGTACACAGAAGCAACTAGCTGGCATGGCAATTGTATTTTCGGATTGTTACGTCCCTTTGACTCCAAATAGACTTCTTTGCGCAAGCTCTGCCTACGCACAGTCTCTCTTCCTATTTCAGATGATTGTTCAGGCTGGAACATAACCTATTTTGCTGTGTATAATGCACACTTTTGCCCACATTTTTGAGGGAAAAATAAGGAGGTATACTATATATGTATAGTACCTTGTATCTGTTCTTGTTTTTTTGTAATTGTTACATAAAACTTCTTGTACCATAATATGTTCAAAAATAAATGCTAAAATTCCTTTATAATACAAAACCCAAGTATCTAAATATAAATAAATAAATAAATTGAATTAAAAAATTAAAGTGAAAGGTTTTTCCCCTGAAAGTTTGGGCCAAAAACATGGGTGCACATGATACACAGCAAAATATGTAAGTTTTGAGGTATGAATTGTTTTCAAGTCACGAGGAGGAAGATTCGTTTACTTTTTCCCCCTCCACATCTGCAGGACAGAGACACACGCATATAAGCACGTTAGGAGCCTGACCCCCCATGTGAGCTGTGGTCGTATTTAAAACCAGTCACTTCCCCAAGTCGTTAGCCACAGTCTTCTGGGAGTTAGGACGTCAGGAATGCGGTATTCTGTTGCACGGCACAGTCTTGATAAGTAACCACACGTTACCAGCATTCCAAACTCTAGGACAAGTCGCATTCGCTTGAAACTCAAAAGTGGACTGGGAAGAAGTCCCATTTCTCCTGCACGGTTTGGGGGAGCCTGCAGCGTCGCCGGCAATTAGCCACTTCCTGTGCTCAGAGGTAGGTGTGATTAGAACAGCTCAGGGCCACATAGCTCTGGGCTCCAGCACAACCTTGTGAAGTAGAATTACCAGGGCTCTGGCCAAGCGGGAGGGTCCCAGCACCCAGGGGCAGGGAGGGGAGAGGATGGGGAGGAAGAGAAAGGGAGAGCGTTAACTAGTCACCTGTGAGCGGCACCTCCTTCCTTCACTTGAGTGACAACGATAGCGTGAGGTGAGCGCTTCGATCCTCGGCCTCCACTAACCTGAATTCCCAGCCCATCCGATTCTTTAAGCAGCTCCAGCTTCCATATCCGGCCGACTTCCTCCTTGGAAGAAAAAGTGAGCACACCGTGAAGAACACAGACAGACGCAGGGCCACGGCACCAGAACGGGAGAGCGGGGCGGCTGGGTCAGGCCATACGCTCGTCGCTTGTCGACAGGAAGCACAGGTAACCACAGAGGAAACAATTCTGTGGACTGAACCCACGCCTAGCTGGCAGTGTGTCCACCAGAGCGTCCTCTGATGATGGGAAAGCCCTGCGTCTGCACCATCCAACACGGAGTCACAGCCACAGGTGGCTGTCCCGTGCCTGAAATGTGACTGGCAACTGACACACTATTGAATTTGAACTGAATAGCCACTCATCGTTACTGGCTATGACACTGGGCAGCAAGGCAAGAGTAATTACTGAACCCCGTGAGCAGGGTCCTGCTCAGTGAAGCCGCCTCTGCCCGAAACCCAGGCGCCACCGTGCGCATGGCTGCTAGTTCGCAAGGGAAGGCGGAAGGGGGACCCGGCCTGGTCTCGGCGCCAGACGTCAGCTGGCTACAGCCCAGTGCTGCCACTCAGTCCTCCTGAAAGTCCCCTGATGCCTAAAAACCTGTTTCTTTGCCTCTCGAGTGGGGATAAGTATGACTAATTCCGGTTTGTTGTTAGGGTTAAAGGAGGTATTTCTGGAAGCAGGTGGCAACGTTTCCAACATCTAATTCCCTATTCTGTGCACATAACAAATGTTGATAGGTAACCATGTGCTACTTATAATACGTATAATATGTGTATATGTTAAAAACATCATATTGAGTTGAACCTCAAACTTCCTTACACCCTATAACTGAGAACTTTGGTAGGAGAAACCAAAACAGTCAATTAGCTGATGAATTTGTTATTTATTGACTTCCACAGACATTTGCTGTACATTCTTTTGATACATTAAAAAATGCTTCAAACAAAATGTATCCTTTTTAGAACTGACAAATGTCTGTAAGTCTTCTGCACTGCTGGTAGCTTTTCTGGTTGAGTTCATTCTCCGCGGACCCCCATTTCACGCCAAGGACACAAGCACAGGCCCACCGCACAATGTCGGCGTTGCCTCAGCTACTTCGAGGTCGGAGAAATGAAAGCAAAACCTCCCAAAGCGGTTTGTTCTGAGTCTTACTGAGGCTCACCCCTATTGTTCTGTTCAGGTCTAGGTACAGGGGTATGAGTCACAACACATTCTTCAACATTCTAAAACAAGAGCCATCTGCTTTCTTCATCCATCATGAAGGGCCACTGGAACCATGAAGGTCCGACAGGAACAAAGCCATCCTCCTCCTAGAAATAGGCAACCTGCCCAATCAAGCTGCTTGCAAAAGAGAAGGAATGCGAAGCATTTGGAAAATCTGAAATACACTGTCAGAAACTCCAAGGAAGCTTTATGCAATTGTAAAAAAACCAGATGTTGAACGGTCACTGATGCGCGGCAACAGGAATGTCTGGGGAAATTATTACCAGACAGAGACCTGGTAGATCCTGAGTTTATCTGGTACAGCACTCGGTGGGGCCCCGTCACCCCAGCCACACGCAGGAGGTGCCAACTGTCTCCTCCATCCGCTCACCACAGACACACGAAGCCTGTCTGGCCAAATGTAACTTCAGAAGTCACTGGCTTACCACAGTAGTTCATGAACTTGTCAACGATCTCTAATTCATCCAGTCGTCTCCCTCTGGGTTCCACGGTTTTTGGTTAGTTGCCTCTGACCCCTGGAACACCTTTCTCTCTTCCCCATTCAGAAGCGGCCTCCCTGGCCTTCCGTGTCTCACTAAGCTCCACTAATTCAAGAAGCCGTCCGTGAAAGTCAGCGCTACCACCCAATGGCAGCTCTCACCCCTTCTGGTCTGTGAGAGCCCCTCGCCTGGCGGACAGCCCCACAGGGAACCAGCTCAGGGGACGGCAGATTCTCTGTGATCCCAGCTCCCTGGGCATCTCACTCAGCACCCGGGGCAGCCTGTGGCTGCCTCCCTGGGCCTCGTGACGCAGTGGACAAACTAGAGCAGATGGTGGCCTGACTTGCTTTTTCCTGTGAAGAAATGCCAGTGGCTCCTGGAGTCTGGGAGGTGTGGGACAGCACTCGCCCCTCTCTCAGCAAGCAAAGCTGTGGAACCCTTCCCTAAGAGCAACAGGGACCACTATTAGAGTCTAGAAATAAGAAAACCCGTTCAGTTTTAGTCAGATTAGTAAAGGACTATCCATCCCATTTTCAGTGACACCACCATTCCTCTCCATCCCTCCCCCACCCCGGTCCTACCCTTCTTGTTAAACAGAGCAGGTTAAGTATGGTTCCTAGATGGTGTGATTCTCAGTACTGGATACAGTCCTTTCCCATTTTTAAATGCTCTTAGAAACAGGACTTGTGACAAGACACATGCAAAGCCATGATCGCTGGGGGAGAGCAATGCCCTAATGTACACTGAGAGAATGAAAGACACTTTTTGTCAAAAGTACCCACACCCCTACCCCATACCCCTGCTCCTGCTCCAACACACACATTAAGTTAAAAGCAAAACAAAACACCTATCTAATAAAAGTGGCTTCAGAGGGCGGAAAGGACTCATCTGTGGTGCAGCCCCCAAGTGTACTAGTCAAGAAACATCAGTTTTCACTGATCCGACAACATGAGTTTTTTCACAACTGGAAGCAGGGACTATAAGGAGAGAGTTCACAGAGATCAGTGTACGTTTCCGTGCCCTGGAGCTTCTCGGTCACTGATGGGGGTGCGGAGGGACACAAAGGAAGGCCCAGCAGGAAGGGGCAGATGTTATCGGTCTCGATTGTACAACTGTCAGGGTGGCGTTAAATTTATCGGCCCGTAGCTGAAAGCAGCGCTCAGTTAAAAATAAAGTCAGCGTTTGAAGTTTATTTGGCTAAAGCTGGTACTGGCCAAAAACCAACCGGCCAGCCAAAGCATGATAATATTAAGTATATTTCCAGCTGCTTCCTCACAATTCCACTGAGGTATTTGAGACACACCTCAGTACGGTCCAAACAGGACTCTCCCCATCCCCAACCTGGGCTCCCCCCTCTCCATGGGAAGAAATACCATCATCTACTCAAGATGGAGAGGGTATACAACCCCAAAATCAGACCCGAATCGAGAGCGAGGTCTACTGGAAGCTCTACTGGCAAAACAGATCCACACCCATCTCCTTCTGCTCCTCATCCCCGCCGCCACCCTTGTCAGGGCCACAGGCATCTTTTTCTTGGGTCATCACAATAGCCTCTAATCTGGTCTCCTTTTGTAATCCTCCACCTCCTACAATTCACTGTGCTCTCCATTCCAGGTCTAGGGTGAACTGTAAAAGAGTGTACGTCACGACGCACTCAGGTTAAACCTTTCGACAGCTCCCCACCAGGCTGAGAGCGAGGCCGGGATGGCGTGCACAATCTGTTGTGATCTAGCCCTGCCCAGTGGGTCCTCCCGCAACTAGAACCGTGCCTGGCACATAACACTATGCATACTTGTCATGAAATGGACAGCTGTAAGATATTTTCCCACTAGTCTTATGGTTCTTCAGAAGTCACCGAGACTGGCATGAATAGGCTCATGCAGATGGGAGACCCGTGTGCTTGCCAACGTTCGGCGTGTGAATGCTGACCTGGTTGTAGACACGACTACATTCTGAAACAGATCCCGTCTAGACACACGGCTCGGGCTTTGGCTTCCTTTACGTGGGCTTAAAGGGCAAGGAGCCTGTGTCAGCCTGCTGAGAAAAAGCCAAACCACATGGAACTGGACACTGCGGACCTTTGTAGCACGCTGTCGGAGCGCTGCCCTTCCTGCAGAGCGCTGAGGACTATGCGGGCGCCCGTGCGTCTCTTTACGAGAGCAAACAAGGGGGCTGACTTACCAGACGGGGCAGTACACCAAAGGGAGCTGTCTCTGCAGCATCTAAAGGACCTCATCTTCTTCTGGAACCAAGGGTAAAATCTCACAGCAGCAGCTTTGCCCAACATGAGAAGGCACATCACCCAACTCGAATTTCACTGCAGTAAGTGCTCTGGCTCTCGCTGGAAACCTATTCTGAGACTGTATGTGTATCCCCCCTTCTTATTTAGAACAATCTGTAAGTGATGAAGCAATGTGTGATCATAATGTCCAAGTTGCAGTCCCTTAGTCACCAGACTAAAATGCTCAGTTTATAGGGGAGAAGACAGAAGCTCAGAGAAAGGACATGGCTGCCCGAAGGCCCCTGGGATGAGAGGGCCAGGGCAGGAACTCAATGTCCAGCCCTCAGGCCTGGTGCTCCTGGGTGCCTTTATTTACGAATAGCTCAAGAGCACCTATGGGTGCAAGGCACCAAGTCAAGACAGAAAGACAAATGAGGTCCTTGCCCTTGAAGTCTACTGTGGATGCACAGCCCAGTGCTATTTGGAACACGTGGGGTTGAGGCACTGATGGAGATCAGCAGGTGGTCCTGCAGGAGCCCAGGGAGGAGATGCCTGAAGATGGGGCAGGTAACAGGGACATTAGGGGAGCCTCCCTGAGAGGGTGCCATGGTGCTCGGTCCCCCAGAAAAGGCAGACGCTAAGCTACACTGAGTGGAGAAGACATGATGCTGAGAGCAACATCTGCCAAAAATCAGAGGCAGGAGTGAGCATGGCCTTTTGAAAAGAAAAAAAAAAAAAAAAGGGAAACTACTTCAGCCCAAATCAGGGAGGCAGAAGGTTAAGGAAGGATCAGGTAACACTGGGCCTCATGTGCTTTGCCAGCCAGGGTGTTTGACTCTTACCCAGAAGGTGAAGCGGACCCGTCAAAAGGGTCTGAGCGGCAGTGTACGCGGGTGCGCTGGCACATGCATGACGGCACCTGCCCTTCACAAGGGTCTGGCTGGTTGCAGTGGGACAGCGGATGATGGGGTCAGCGTGGGGGCAGTGAGATGGGTGGGGGAGTACTGTGACCACCCCGACGAGGCATGAAGATAGCCTGGCCTCGACCTGAAGTTGTGGGAGTCGGGGAGAGAGAAGAGGGGAGAGCAGGGACATCCGAAAGAGAGCAGGCATTGACGGGACTTGGTGACTGAGTGGACATGGTGTGAGAGAGAGAACAGCATGTCAGTGGACTAGAGGACACTGGCTGTCTCCAACTTAGGATAAAGGCATTTTTCAGGACATGGGACTGTTGGTGCAAAACCAGGGGAAGTTCTGGGCAAACCAGGAGAGGGGTCGCTCGCTGACTCCCAGGTTTGTGGTTTGGGCAGCTCAGGGGGCGGTGAGTCCTGGAACACTGGTGCAGACTCAGTGGTGCGGGCAAATGATGCATCGAGTTTCAGGCACGATGTGCAATAGCCAGGATGGAGACATCCTACAGGCAGGTGGTGGAAACTTGGGGTTCAGGAGAGAGGTGAAGGTGCAGGCACAGACATAGGAGACACTACCATGCAGGAAGACACAAGTTCACTCAGCGACCCTGGGGGCTTCCCAGAAGAGGGACATCCTGATGTTGCATTTGCTTGTTGCAAATGTCAGGGACCACCGGGGAGATGATGTCCTGAGTGTCAATCTCCAGAGCTGCCCGTGCTTTCCTGCAGACTCAGGCCTTCCTGAGGTCTGGCACTGTGCAGGGCAGATCACTAGTACTAGGGTAAGACCACGAAGGGACCCACAGACCCATGCGCCAGTAGTGAATAAACTCACCTGCCTGGCCGATGGTAGGACTGGTTTTCTCTGTTGTGTGACTACCTTTGGTTGCATTCATTTGTACCATGCAGTGTTGCAAAAATACACATATGTCTAAATAAGCTTGCAAAAACTGTCACCTTGGATGACAGTGAATGTATTTCTAAGACTGCTTATTTATGTTTTAGCAGGTTATTATGTTTTAGATGATAAGCATGGCTTTTTAATCTGGTTGCATACCTATCATTATGTGTTAATATTTTATAGAATCATACTGGATTTTTTTAAAAAACGAGGTATTTGTTAGAGGAAATATTTTCCTATAGCTCTGTTAAGGAGGAACAGAATATAAAAATGTGTAACAAATAAGTCTATGAAAAAGGAGCACCTGACAAGATTGGTCTTGACAATCATTATAAACCTTTTCTGTAATTTATTAAAGCTTTGTAGACATGTTAAATCATTAATAAAGCAGAAACAGAACAATGCTGACATGTTTAATTTCCCATTATTCAAATGGAATGGAGTTTTTTTCCTCCAAAGGCTTAAAAGGTAAATAGCTCATTTCTTCCCCCTAGAGATTCTATTTCAGCTCGACTCTGGGCTCATCCCATGACTTTGGAGTAAAAATAAAAATCCATTCCGCTCAAGGACTGGATAACTTTCTGTGAAGATCTACTGGTTCCAATTTGAGTACCACCTGGATGTGGGGGATGCTACTTCTTGCCAACTATATCAATTTTGGATAAATGCAACTGATGATAATACTTCTGGGGTTGAAAAGGGTGCTAAAATATTCACAAGTAAGAAGGTATGTGGCCCACTCTGACTGTGCAAACGAAAAGCCGATAATCAGTCCACAGATTACAGGCAGTGATGCAGAGAGCACGTTCCAGATGGCAAGTCTCTGCTTTCTATAGGCAGGTGGCTTTAAAAAACGCCCCACAGGCCGTTGGTTTTTGTTTCACCATTTCATTTATACTTTTTTGCACATTTGACCTTGAGCACAGAATTCAGGGGCTCTGATAGGTGTAGTTTTCAGAGAGTCCAATCCAGAAATTCAATTTTATGTTACTGCTGTTTATTAAGATAAGCAGAGGGTGGTACTTTAAAAGTTTGATGTGTTTTTTTTCTTTTAAAACAATTCCAAGTTATTTCCACTTATCCTACAATTCAAAGCCTGTTCTTTAAGTGGTGTGTGAGAGCCAACTTTAAACCTTTAGTACCTCAACCCTCCAATAGTATTAAGGATGTCGACACTCCCTCACTTAGTTTTTTCCACCCCAGGCTTTCTGTGTATTTACAATCCAATCACTGGGGGAAAAATCATATCAAGGCATAGTATCCATGGATAGGGACACCTTATAATACGGGTATTACCTGCTTCTCAGAAGTTCGTGTTATGCCACTTCATTTTTACAAGAGTCTTAGAGTAGACCTGTTTTCAGTAACAGACAGAAATCCAAAGAAAGTTTTTGCTTTTATGAGAAAAGGCAAAAAGCGAAAAGAGTGCCCAGCGTTTGCTTTGTGGGGAGAGTCACAGAGGCAGGTGCCCCCCAGACAGCAGGAGTGGCGCTGCCTTTACTGTACGCTAGTGTTGCTTTCGCCTCTGTGTGTTCTTTGGTGTGGTCAGTAGGTTATTTTGGGGGTCTAGGAGCACTAAAATATTTTCTCACATGAATTAGTAATAATATTTTAATCCTCACCAGAGAATATACTCATAGATTCTAGAGAGTGAGGAGGGGAGAGGGATGGAGAGGGAGGAAAGGGGGAGGAAGGGAGGGAGGGAGGGAGGGAGAGAGAGAGAGATTGACCAGTTGCCTGCCATATGCACCAACTGGTCCATTCTGACCAATAGATCCACCACCCAGCCAGAGCAGGGCTGTATTCCTATTGGCCTTAATTTGGTGGGAGGGGGGACATTAAAGTCTTTTTTGCCCTTAATCCTTTTTTCGTGGGGAGCATAACTGGTTAGGAAAATCACTGATGTGAGACATTAGTTTTTCTTCTTATTTGTTTACCCTTCCATCTACAAACAGGCCTCCTCTGTGTAAGGCTTTAAGATGACCCTCTAGCTCTGCAAAGGAGAAAACAGGTCCTCTAAGAGAGCATTATTCTGGTTCTTCTCCACCCCCTGTGCAGCCTGGCTACCACTGCCGACATGTGCGTAGATCAGCCTTTAGAAATTACACTCACTCGCAGGGCTCCGCTTCCCAGCAAAGCTGAACGGTATACTCCCCCTGGGCCCATTTCCCACCTTTCCAACTTTCTCTTTCATCCCTACGAGCATCTCCCGAGTCAGAGAAGACGCCAGTCAGGAGCCACTTAGGAAGTTACTGCTTCATGAAGAATCCATAGCAGTATCTGCCAAGAGGATTCTTGGAAAGAACGTGCTGATCCTAAAGAAACGTAACTTAATGAGAGAGTGCTGGTTATCATGGGCGGGGGGGGGGGTCAGTTTGCGTCTGGAAGCGCACCCACCACTCTTCGGAATAGACCACATCTGCTTTGCCTTTAGGAGGTAAGACCAGCCCTGACCATCACAGCTGGATATCATAGCATCAGAGATTTTTGTGAAGTTTCTAAACGTCGCTGGAATTCAGCAATGTAATAACACGACCCCATGAAAACGTCTCTGGTTTTGAAGTGTTAAAAATAAAAGCAGATGCTTCCCTGCGTGTTGGACATCCTTCCTGTGTGATGCCGAGGCCTGGATGTTTATGCTATCGACTGCCACCAGGAATTCTTGGCCTTGCCGTGGCAGGTCCCCTGGTGACAGCAGTGATAAATAGTGATGCACTTCAAGCACTTCATCTGGGCCTCAGATGACTCAGCTCATACCACAGAAGGCTTGAATTTTCCACTTAGGATCACTCGACTCGCTCTTTATTTAAGTAGGATAAAATGACTTGGATTTTTTTGGTTGTTATTGTTAGTCCTCTGATCGTTTATCTTAATACACTTGTTGGCTTCTAAATGCAAGGTCACCTGAGACGTTATTTTCGAAACTTTAAAAGCAACTTCAAACAATATGACTTTAAAAACTCAGGTTCTAGAATCAAGCGGAACCTTACCCGTGCCAGGCAGTCACTTGACTGGAAGTCCGTCTTCCCCGACTTTGAGAAGTGCCGTTTGTCGTCACTTGTGGGCAGGGAGACGTCTGTCTTTGGAACCCTCTGCTCGGTCCCTCTGCCCACTTCTGACCCGTCTAGATGGGATCCAGCCACCACCTCCTTCAGAGAATCTCGGCCGTTTTCTAGCTCAAAGGCATGGCCATTGCCAAGTTCAGGGTCTGGGCCATTGTCCGGCTCACAGATGGGGTCATTGTCCAACTCACAGCTGGTGCTGCTCTTGGATTCTTCAGTGGCCTTGTGGGTAGAAGGCCTGGAAATGACCCCAAACTTCCTTGTTCTTTTCCCCTTTTTCACCGTTCGGTCACCCAGCTCCAAGGTAGGCGTCTCTCCTGGTTCAGAGCTGTTGCTGCTGTTGCCATTGTAAGGAGAATGGACTTTGTGCTTGAAGCGACGCAGCATGATCAGGTAGATGAAGCCGCCATTCCAGCACTGCTCAGCCAGGTAACTGCGGCAAACAGAAGAAGACTGCGGTTAAAATCCTCAAACTCCCCCCCGGCGAACAGTGCAGTGGGTCGGTGCATTCAAAGGCCCACGGAGGGGGCCTTGTAATTAAGAACCTGGCCAACAGACTGAGGCACTGAGCTCCCCAAGGAGACGTAACACTCATTTCATTCTTTCAATCTACATAATTGTCGATGCTAAAAATGACTCCAAAACCAACCAGAAAAACCGAATGAGCTAGAAATTACTAATGAAAGTGCCCCAGGATAGGTAATCAGAGAAGGATTTTCCTATTAACAGAGCCAATCCTAACATACCATTAAAAAAAAAGTCCTCTGCTCAGCAACTTCTGACATCAGAATTATTCTAGCCTCCCATTCATACAGCTCTGCTGTGATAACACTGGAGTCCCCAGGGTAAAGAGCGGGTAAAACGGCTTTGGGGGAAATGTTCAGTTCTGCTCTCGGGATCAGAGAAATCCACCGCCCGACAGGAACCTCTGCCGCGCAGCAGTTAAAGCGGAAAACCGACCGGGGGTGGAGTGGAGTGGAGTGGAGTGGAGTGGGAGGGTGTCACGATGCGAGCGGTGATGAGCGCTGGCAGGTGTATCCCGTATTAAATGAGCATCAGCTCATTTCTGGGCAAGGGTTCTAGCCTGCCTTGTTCACAGCACACGCGGAGTGCCATTTCCAGCCTGGGCATCACACTAAGAGGCACGCCGACAACGTGCAAAGCACGCACACATACATAGGGTGACCAGGACAAAAAGAAACAACACTGTGGAAACCAGGAGAACCAGGAATAGTGGGAGGGAGGGGGGACCCTTATTCTGAGAAAAACAAGGGCCAGGCTCAGTTGTTTTTCATGTATTTTACAGCTGCCAAACACTCAGATGCAGGAAATAATATCAACGAGATAATGAAGCCTGACACACAATACTCCTCCAGATCTTAAAGAATAACAAGAAAATAGAACATGAAATAAGATGGGTAATTAGTGGTGATCAGACCAGATCATTAAAGCTTCAGCAAAGAAAACACTTACTCAAAGCCAGGAAACCAGGCTGGGCTGCACCCTCCAGCCCTGCCCCCCAAGATAAGGAAGCACAAACCCCAGATGAACCCAGGGGTTCGCCACTGGACCCTTGCTGCATTCTACACACCACCAGTTCCCAAGAAAACAACACCAACAACCAACTCCTTAATGAGTCAGAGCTGCTTCTGGTCTTCATGCACCACCCCCCACTGCCCCCCAAGAGAAAGCCTTCATCTTCTATAAGTGAAAACAACTTTTCCAAGCATGCCGAGCTAGCTACGCTCCCTCCAGGCCTGAGAACCAGACCTGAGCGCCGGAGCGAGCAGCATGTGGGAAGGGGGCCAGGTCGCAAGGAGAGGTGACCGGCTGTGTTTAATACTAAGTTCTGGGCCAAAAGGCATATATTCCTCATGCCTAATGCAATGACAGGGACCGTCTCACTGAAAAAGAGAATAATTCTGAATTTGCCATGGAGTAAAGGGAACAAAACAGAAGGGTCTTTAAACATCAACCAAAGCTAATAAAAACTCCGTGACCCTGGGCTATCAGCCATGGTACCGAACGTGCACGTAAAGCCCAGGTAGATAAAAGATGCCGTACAAGACTCAGGCTGTTCTGTGAAATGCAGCGGGAGGAAGAGGGGTGAAGTACCCTCTGGAGTACAATGGACTGTCCACTGGAGTACAGAAAACAAAAATCAAAGCTGGTTTTCAGCATAACTTTTCTACAACGCTTAGATTTTTTATTTCCTTGGATTGTTGTGGTTTCTTTTTTCACACGAACAATTCTTAGAAAGGTACGAAACCCTGACAGCGGTTAGCCAGGTTACAAGGTTCCTTTGAGCCAACCACTGCTGCGAATGTGATGCGCACACTCGGATGTAATGACACCCGGTGTGCAGTGGCAAAAACAGGACCAGGCTGAGGGTTAGATTCCCCGAGTCCTGCCTCTGGCCCAGCTGTGTAAAGCAATGGTAATTTCCCCAAATTTCCACCGCCTGACAAGTATATAGACAAAACGTGGTACACCCAGATGATGGAATGTTATTTGGCAACACAAAGGAAGTAGTAGTATCTGTGCTACAACTTAGGTGAAGCTTGGAACCGTTATGCTGAGTGGAAGATGCCAGACCACCAAATGATGCCCCTTCCAGGCCATGTCCAGAATCCACAGAGACGGGACGTAAGCCAGCGGTTGCCAGGAACTAGGGGGAGGGGAAAATCAGGACTGACGGATAACAGGTACAGGGGTTTTTTTGGGGTAGTGACGGAAACGTTCTGGAATTAGATAGTGGTGATGACAACACAACCCAGTGAAGATACCACTCCAAAACGGTGAACTTTATGTTAGGTAAAGTATGCCCCATCTAAAGAGAACAAGAGCAAGTAAAATAACACCGGCCCAGTTTTGAGTTCGTTTTTTGAGTAGGCACTCCCTAAGAGCGGTTTACGGAGGAAGAAACCGAGACTCAGAAATACTGGTTCACTTGCCCAGGTTCGCATACCTGCTAAGTGGGAGGCCCGTCTGCTTCCCAGGCCCGTGCTGTGTTCTCTGGGCACTTCTCCCTCTTCAGTTGTTACCTTCCCAGTGCTGCCGTTTCCTCGTCTGGGAAACGAGGTATTCTAGTGGGCCCCCTAAGTGGCTTTTGCATGTGGATGCCTCTGTTCCGGAACAACTTTGGAGGACAGAGGACAAGCCATCCCAACAACCCCGACCCAGGGTTGAGGACAAAGCATCATCCGGGAAGAAACGGGAACACTCCTTTTACGGCCAAGTGATCCTAGGGGCCTCTTGGACATTGCCCAACAACCTGAAAAAGACTTCACCTGGTGGGGGGCAATTCCTTTAAAAACATTTTTGGGATTCTACCTGTTGTATGAAAACTCTGAACACCCTGAGGGGGTGTATGGCAGGGACCTTCTTTTCAGCACCCCGAAGGCCAGCCCGTTGATTCAGAACAGAGGCTCCGGAGTATCTTTCCCATCACTGCTCTCACAGAAGCTCCAAGACCCTTGACAGGTTCCGTGACAGAGTGTTTTACTCCCTCTGCAGAGTCCGCACTCAGCAGCACTGCAAAGCCAGAGGAGTTTATCTTTGGTTCGGCACCATCTCCCTCCCTATCATCTCTCCCCTGGCTTCCTGGCCATAAATAAGACCCTGACACCTTCAGGGAACTGTCTGACAGGTTATTTTATTCCTTCCTGGACTCAGAATTTTCTAAGGTCATCCCAAAGACAGAGAGTAATGCATGAATTATGGACATCTGAGCAAGCTGGTGAGAAAGAGACTTTTAGGCAGAGGGTAACTTTCTTATAATTCGTGGAATCACCTTAATGTCAGGCTGCCACATTCCCTTCCTGCCTGTGTTGAAGTAACTTTCCTAACTCTTCCAGCACCTTCCTGGCTAATTCATACTTCCAAATCCCTTTTTTTCTGTTCAGAAGAATTCTCATCCATCATTAGAATCTGTTAATTTCAAATCAACATTTAAGAAAGAAGAAATGGAATACAATCACATGACTTCAGAAAAAGAAAAAGAAAAGAAAAGAAAAGGTCTCCTATTCATGATCGATGAGTAAAATTAGAAGCTTTTCCACCCTATGATTATTCTTTGGTTTCTTCCGGAAATGGCAACCGATCCTCTGGCATGTGAAATGAATTCAATGAATATGTATTTGATTTTGACCATTCCAGGATGACCTTAAGATAAATGAGGAAAGACTAGCATATCCAGAAATGAAGTTCCGAATTCTAGCTTAGAAACCCCCCTTCTGCAATGTGTGTGGTTCTTCATTCCTCTCGGCCTTTGCGGGCATCTTTTCAGAACTGACCTCTTCCTTCCTCCTTCCTGTCTCTCAGACAGTCCCCTGACCCAGTGTTGAGTGCCTCCTCTGTTTCTTGACGTTCTGTCCTAATCCTGGGCTCTCCGAGGGCTGGCAGGGGAGGTTGGGTCTTGGAAAAGCTGAAGTCTGGAGTTGGAAGAACAAGAGAACAGGGAGGTAGGAGACACAAGAGGGGCAAAGACAGGCACTGGGAGGCCAAAGGCACACATTATTCACCCTTGCCCTGATTCCGTCAGAAGAGGGCTTGAGGCAGCCATAAAAGTTTGATATCCTGGACTGTTTTGCCAAAGCTCTTGGAAGGAGCAATCTCCAGGTGGCCTTTGAAAGTTGTCTCGGGCATTCAGCCATCGGTTACTGATGCCTGGCACGCAGTGCACACCCACGGGGGCAGATGGGGGGTAGGGCGGGGGTGCTCACGCCGAGCTGACCCATGAGTGTGCATCTGTGTGTAACTGAGAGGAACCTGGCTCACCACCACTGGGCACTGGCCCGTCTGCAATCCCATGGGAAGATGAGGGAGCTGCGAGAACACAGAAGAGAAGTCTGGAACTCAGATGTTTCACCAGGGCCGACATTCAGCTGAGTACGTCAGGCTCCCAGGAGACAACAGGAGAACAAACACTGACCGCAAGAAGATGTTTATAGGCACTTATTCTGACAGAGCCTGGGTTTTATGGCGTGGAGCCAGCTGCTAAGAGCCACCTGGTCTGACATGCGGGACAAACGGAGATCCATCTTTCTGGCCTGCGACCTCCCTCCTGCCTCAGATGTGCAGGGAGGCTGGAAAGCTGTCTGGTCATTTGGAAACCTGCTAAGCCGAGTGAACCCAGAGGTCCGCCTGAGGCTGTGTGTGGATCTGTTGGTCCCCGAGAACAATGTGTCGAGAGGAAGTGTTAAATATACACAGCTTCGTTTCCCGGCGAAGTCTTGGCTGGGAAACAGAGGGAGGCAAGTGTGGACAGCAATGAATATCGAGGGGACAGGAAGATGAAAGTCGTTATTTCTCGGAGTCACTCAGTAACCTGGTTCCCAAAGGGCAGTTTCTCTTAGGTGTTACCTCCCAGGCACATTTGAATTTTGGACACGCTTCTTCCAGATTCCACAGAATCTTTCTTTGGAAGACTCT